CTATGATAGCCGATCTTATTGAGCCCCTATTTTGTGCTCTGTCCTAAGTGCTTTATACCAAGTTACATCCTTTCATTTTAACCACCTATCCTCTAAGGCAAAAATCATAATTACCCAGTTTAAAAATTAGAAAAATGAAGCACAGAACTTTTCTCAAGTCAGCTTCTAAGTAATGTGGTTTCCCCATTGAGAATAAGTTCTATAATCAGCAAAGGGCTCAAATGACAGTCTATTTCTATGTGAGGTGGCTCCACAACTATTTTTTTGTGAGCATGTAACATTGATATTCTGAATGGGAGATGAAATTATGCATACTGCTGAGCAACAAACTCTTAAAATTAGTTCTTTTTAAGAATATTTATGGTTATAAAATTTTGTTTACCATAAATATATATATATTTGTATAGACAGATTAGCCCCAAATTATCTCATATCTAACCATGTCAGACAGGTTTGGTAAGAACTAATAAGTACATGCAAACATTTTTCAATATTAAAGACCTAAGGCAAGAAATCTAGGCCAAATGTATCAGATTTCAGGTAGTTATATACAATATAATTTTATTCAATAAGCTGTACTGACTTAGAATATAGGAAAAGCAAAGATGGGCCAAGTTTCCTCTTTAGTTCAAACTATCACACAAGGCATTTAAGTACATAATTTGTCTTCTTAATAGGCTATAATTTTATTATGTGTACAATCTCACATATACTTTTAAAAACACTTTTTCTTCTTTAAAAATCACATTTTGCCATTCCCAACTAATTTCTTTTTTAAAATTGAGATATAACTGCCATATAACATTGTGTAAGACTAAAATACACAACATACTTGATACATATATATTGCAATGTGATTGTGATTGTAGTGTTAGCTAACACCTTTGTTGAGTCACTTAATTATTTCTTCTAGTAATGGAAAAAATTAAGATCTAGTCTCTTAGCTTAGTTTAATGTGCATAATACTGTTTGGTTGTCTATGTTATCTATAGTTACTACACCGTCTTCAGGACTTATTTATATACTAGTTGAAAGTAGGGTATCCTTAAACAACAACTCTTCCATTCCCATTCCTCAGCCCCCGATAACCACCATCGTACTCTTTGGTTTTTTTTTTTTCAGACTCAGTTTTATTTAGATTCCACATATAAGAGATATCATACAGAATATGTCTTTCTCTGTATATGTTGAATGGATTAATTCTGGGCTCTCTATTCTGTTCCATTGGTCTATATGTCCATTTTTATGTCAGTACCATACTGTTTTAATTACAATAGCTTTGTAGTATAACTTAAAATGGGAAACTGTGATGCCTCTGACTGTGTTTATCTATTTTTCTTTTCCTTTTGTAAATTGTATCCCTTCCTTTTCATTGGCTGCTATGCTCCCTCCCTGAATTGTGCTTTCCTACATGCATCATGGTAGTCGAATGTTCAACTTCATTCACCTGATGTTTTGATCTGCTGTTGAGAGACGGCTATAAATTCCTAATACTAGACTGTCCAACTATCTCCTGGGCCATGCTCTTCTATCTCATTATTGCTTTAGCTATTCAGGGTCTTTGTGGTTCCATACAAATTTTAGGATTGCTTTTTCTGTTTGGGAGAACAAAGCCATTAGGATTCTGATAGAGATTGCATTGAATCTATTATGTTTCACAGCTGATACCGAGGTTTATCAGTATCTTGCCAGCTGCACTGGTAGGTGAAATTCCTCACAGGACTGTTGGAGTAAAGTACTAGACCCCCAAATACCCATAATGCTGTTTTTGTTCAAGTCTGGATGTCTAATCTATTGATTAAAAAGGGGGATATAAAGGAGAAACATCTGTGCTGCCCTGTTGCTATCACTCTTTCTGTGGTAGGCAGTTAAGATCTGAGCAGAGCAAGGATGATGGGCCAGATAGAGAAGGTCACCCAGGAGGAAAGCCCTGTGTTCCTAGCAAAGGAGGATTGATTGCAGGGTGGGACCCTTCCTCCCCTAGAATATCACCGGTCATGTGGTTTAGGACCCCCTGACCTTTCCTTCCTAGAGATGACATCTAGGCATCAGTTATATTTCAGTTCCAGGCCCAGAAAAGCAACAAAGCAGACATAGCGGACATGGCTGACTTCAGGATCAACAGCATTGAATAATGACCCCTGCCCCGGTGCCAACCAATTAATCAGTGGAGACCTAGACCCTGAAAGTATACACCTGGAAAGCTGCTGAATTAAGATTTTCCCCTGTGACCTCCCCCGAAATCTTCACCCTTAAAACCTTAGGACAAAGGATCCAGTGCACTCTCCCTCCCCTGGGAGAATACCCAAGCTTTTCCCTTCTCTCTCCCTTACCCTCTCACCCCTGCCCCAGGTGCATTGCCATTACCTGCCTCACTCCCCAGCTCCAAGGGCCCTTCCGTTATGAAAAAACTTACTCCCAAGCTCCAAGGGCCCTTCCATTTTACCTATAACTTGTTTCCTTAGCCCATTCCTTCTACAAATTACTACCTGTGATTTACCCAATAAATGGCCCAGAAAAGCAACAAAGCGGACGTAGTGGACATGGCTGACTTCAGGATCAACAGCATTGAATAATGACCCCTGCCCCAGTGCCGACCAACCAATCAGTGGAGACCTAGACCCTGAAAGTATACACCTGGAAAGCTGCTGAATTAAGAGTTTCCCCTGTGACCTCCCCCGAAATCTTCACCCTTAAAACCTTAGGACAAAGGATCCAGTGCACTCTCCCTCCCCTGGGAGAATACCCAAGCTTTTCCCTTCTCTCTCCCTTACCCTCTCACCCCTGCCCCAGGTGCATTGCCATTACCTGCCTCACTCCCAAGCTCCAAGGGCCCTTCCGTTATGCCTATAACTTGTTTCCCAAGCCCATTCCTTCCACAAATTACTACCTGTGATTTACCCAATAAATGTTCCCTTATAGTTGGAGTCTTGGCTCAGAATTCTTTCCTAGCCAGAACTCAAGAACCAAGGTCCCGTCTGACGTCACTGTTCAGACACCAGGTGCCCTTCCCGCCACCTACAA